AAATACTCATATGCAAAAATTACTGAATAATAATGAAAAAAACACCAAAAATTAATTAAAAATCCAAAATTTCTGAAAAACTTAAAGCTTAATTAAAATACTAAAAATAATTAAAAAAATTAAATTAATTGTATTTTATTACAAAAAATACTGAATAATAATGAAAAAATAATGTATTTTAATTATTAATAGTAATATAATTAACAATTATTATTTTTAAATGTAATTAATAGTAATTATAATTTAAGCTATAAATAGTAGAAAATTACATTTAATTACCAAAAATTATATTTAATTACCAGAAAATTACATTTGATTAGTTTTAGCCAAGAAATTAGCAATTTTTCTGAAAATATGATAATTTCCAAAATTTTTTGTATTTTAAATAAATACAATAATTTAATAATTATAATATTTTAATAGCTAACAATATTTTAATAATTAATAATAAAAAGTAACAAACCGTTTATAACTTAAGTAACTATTAGATCTATAAATTTGTAGGTTCAAACGATTATTTTCTTTTGAGTTATGTCTAGTTGAGATATGCACCATGCCCACACATTATCAAGGATAATCATATTCGAATTCTTGGAAATCAAACTTTTGGAGTCCAATAATAGCTTTAGCAGACAGGGACCAAGCTATATAACCCCTAATATGCTCAACTTGGAAGTTATATGCATATATGGTATATAATATTTAAAAAACAAAGTTTATATTAAAATATATAGAAATGTTATATATTTTTTATACTAGACTAGAATTAAATAAAAATTTTAATTTGTAAAAAATCATAATTTTATAATTAACATGGGCCTCTTTATCAATAGAAAATGTGCAAGCTCGAGCCCAAGCCCGACCCAACCATCAGGCCTAGATCTTGAGCTCAAGCCCAACCCTTATATAAAGTTCGAAGCTCGAGCCCGAACACCAAGCTTGATTTGTACACACACACACACACACACACACACACATATATATATATATATATATATATAAAACATAAGTACTTTTTATATATGTAATAGTATAGGGTCGGGCTTATTTGAGAAAGCTTAAGCTCGAGCCCACAGGCTTGAAATTTTGTCTAAACCTGAAAAATAGCGGGTCTGGTCAGGCCGGGCCATCGGGCTACCCGACCCATGAATAGGACTAATTGTATATATAAAAAATCATACGAAATAAAATTTAAACATGTTTTTCAATTTTTTTTAAATGGACCTCTCATAGCTTGGCCCACAACACGGCATGGGCCCATGCAAGCTCGGGCCATGGGTTGTGTCGAACTGACCCCCTGAATTATCCTAGGGGAGGGAGGCATAGCCCAAGACGCCCCATGGGCCAGCATGGCACAACCCACACTTTATGCGAGCCACATGCGGGTTATGTCGTGCTAGCCTAACACAACCCGATTTACACCTCTACTTGAACTACCCAAATTTGAGGATTCCCCATCCTTGATGAGGAGTGGGGTGCCTTGCCCCTAAACTCGCCCAACATTGGGGAGTGGTTGCCTTGCCTTGAACCCGCCTGACACTAGGACGGGGTGGGGATGGAGTAGAGTGTCTTGACTATGGGGTAGGGGCAGGGATGGGGTGCCCCGTCCTAAACTCACCTCATTGTCATTCCTATATAATTGTCAATTATTAGTGAAATTAATAAAAATGTTAGCTTCTACAATTATTTTTATTTATTTAAACCTAATCAAAATTTTATTTAAAAATAATAACAATTATTAATAAAACTAAATTTATTAAAAAATATTTATTCATATTAAATTAATAATAATTATTTTCTGCAAATCAACATTAAATGAAAATACAATTATTAAAATTTTAAATATTAACAATAACACTCAATACTTTTAATTAATTAACAACACATTTTAATTATTAATTTAATATTAATTAATAGTAAATAAAATTATTAAATCTTTCAGATTTCCCGTGCATCGCATGGGAGACCTAATAGTGATCAACGTGGGGTGGACCCAAAGCGTATCCCAATCTGATGGTTTTGAATGACAGCCTGATACAAGACAAGTTTATGAACATCAAAATTTGATGTATCAAATAAATTTTAGGTAGGACCTACAAATTGAACACCGTAGATCCATTCATTTTGATTAAGGAAATTGTCTAAAATTCACCATGAATTTTCAACCTTTCTCTTAAATTCACAACTTTTCAAAATGTCTAAAACTCACCATGTCAGTAAGTTTTTATTTTCCAAAACTCACCTTCCGTTAGTGCATTGTTAATGCTTCTTACCAAAGGTGTCCATGTCAGCATAAATAACAATTACATGACTAAATTACCCTTGAATGGTGAGTTAGAGGAAAAATGGTTTTTTTTAGTTTTCAACTTTCTTATTTTTTTTTTGCATTTTTAGTGTTTTTTATAATATCCAATGTTTTTTATAATTTTTGTTTATTTACATTTTTCTATTTTCTACAATTTGTAAATTTTCCTGTATTTTTGTTTTTTATATTTTTCTATAAAGTTCAAAATGGTAATATATTAACACCCATTAGTTTGTTTAACGTCAATGACATGGTGAGTTTTAGACATTTTAAAAAGTTGTGATGAGTTTTATAGAAATGCTAAAAACTCATGGTAAGTTTTAGAMAATTTCCCTTTGGGTAAATGTCTTAAACTACCCTTATGGTTTAGCTAATTGACTAAGTTTATCCTTACTGTTTGAAAATTGACTGACGCTACCCCTTACTGTTTCTAACAATTGTCTAAACATTATTAGGGTCATTAAACATGATGGAAAAATGTAAAATGACCATTTTACCCTTAAATTCAACCGGATAGAGCCACTGGAGAGATTGTAGAGGTCTAAGATAAAAACTAATTGTTTTTTATCTGAAACCCAGATTAGAAACAATCTCTGGTGAGGAAGGTTCGATCCAAATCGCCGCTACTAAGAGTTGTAGCGGCGATGGTAGGGGAGGAAAAATAGGGGAGGTGAGGTTGAAGGAGAGAGAGAGAGAGAGAGAAAGCATCATCGCTGCTAAGAGTTATCGTTCTCTAATTCACCTTCGTCATCGTTGTCCTCATTAGCAATAGCCTATTTTTTTTCAGAATATCAAAGCTGAAGGTGAAGAGATCGCCGCCACTAGGACGCTTGTCGTGAGTTGAATAGGAATCGTCATCTCCTCTGTTGCTTGAAGCATCAACATTGACAACGAAGGTATTCGAGGAGCCGGAATCATCCATTTGGCCACCCAAACCCACCGAAAGCTTGCCAATCATCACCCTATCTCCATCGTAGGTCGTCGGAACCCATCGAAACCCGCTGTCGCCGCCAAGACGCCTATTGTGAGTTGAACAGGAATCAAATTAAGATGGAGGTGTTTCCTCGCTTGCTTGTTAACTACATTCACTGCTCCAGCTCGTACCTTGTTCAGGAGTTAGTAGAAGCTCTATTGGTGGAGCCACCTACTATACCGTTAATCCACTGCATCGTTAATCGTTAATCGACATCTTCATGTGTTGTGGCGCTCAAATGTTGCTTAGATATAGCCGAACCTTCGAGCCCATAGATCTTAGGGGCACATTGGACTTGAACTTGGCTCAGACAAGTTAACACCTGAGATGAAAAGGACCTCCCTTAAAGGGAAGAATGCCTTTGATCAATTAGAGAACTTGAAACCTGTAGATTTGCATCTTCGTGTGGTAAATAAGCATCGACGGCCAAGCAAAATAGGTGGGAAGCTATCCGCTAATGCCTTAACAAGACTTTTTAACACTTTCGGAATCGCCTGCCAAAMTCGAACTGAAGACTCCTCTCGTCGGTTGATTTACAGAGTTTCAGAATCTCCTGTGAAAACTAGACTGAAGACAGTCATGTTGCAAGGTCTGTACGCCATTGCAAAACCGATGGAGCTTCTAATCTCTTTTGATGATTTAGCCTATTCATGGCGCTTGGAAGAAGGCCCTAGAAACACTGAAGAAGAGGAAATGAATCGTTAGAGTCAAAAAGTTTAACCTATTCTTTTTTTTTCTCTCTCAACTGATCATAAACGTTGCGAAAATTTGTCATTAGAGCGAAAAATTTCTCCATCTTTTCCTCATCATCATCGTCGACTTCTTCTATAGTAGATCCTTTTTTACGTTCTGCTTCCATGGCAACCAGTAGAGGGAGAAAAAAGGACGGAAGGAGCTGAACACAACACTGTCTCACCAATGGGAGTTGGGTACTTATTTATACACTCATTCGGGTTCGAGTGGGCAGTAGAAATTGGAGCACTTGTAGTTGATGGAGCCGGAGACACTCCCCTTGCAGCACTTGTGGAGCTGGAGCCGCCTCCCCTGTAGCACTTGAAGTTGTAAAGGTAAGAGAGAAGAGATCAGAGGTCTGAGGAGGAAGGGGTTGCTGGTCTGAGGGAGGGGTAATATTGGGATTTAAAAGATTTTTAAACATCACGATCTTATGTGTACGTGGGTTTTGACAGAATACTAATGGATGTAAACGATAAGGCTATGTTTGATTTGAAGGAAAAGAGAGGGAAAGGTAAGAAAACCTATACAAGGTTTGTAAAAGTTTCCCTATTTTTCCCTTCCCTTCTACTTTTTTCTTTAAATCAAATACAGCCTAAAGGTAGAGTTAGACAATTGTCAACACAAAAAAGGTAGCGTCAATTAATTTTCAAACACCAAGGATAGATTTAGTCAACTAGCTAAACTATAGGGTAGTTTAAAAAATTTACCCTTACCCCTTAGATTATGGAAAGTTCCAGACGGAATTTAGTTCTGCGAGTGTCGGACGCGAGGGGCTCTTTCGAGTCGAAGTCCTCTCTCTGACAAAGGGGAAACGCCAACTGCAGTCGCTTCCACAATTGATGTAAACCACACTCGCCATGTTGTTTTACCACGTGGCTAATATGAGGGCACTTTTGACAACTGAGGATACTTAAATTATAGAAAAGCCCCTAATTCGTTTGGTTGTCTTCGGCGTAAACCTGTCAAAGTCCGCTTGAACTGACTCGTCGTATAAAAAAAGAAAAAAAGAAGGTGAAAAAAAACGATAAGAGGGGTGGTGAGTCGTCGCCGCCGCCTGGACCAAACACCGAGACCAGGAACCGGAAGGAGGACGTCGATGGGCGAAAAACCTAAGAAACCCTAGATTTCTCCCCAAATCTCTAATTTCTTGCTCGCTTTTTGGGAGATTTTCGTTCTTTGGGAGACAGACAAAGAGGAAGAGGATTCGATCGACAGAGAAAAGCCAGATGGTCAGACGAGAGCGAGATCTCCCAAGATATGCTTCCAGAGTCGGTTTATTCTTTCTTTGTTTTTGGACTTTCTCGTCTAATTTTTGTTTGAAGCTGAATAACGTAATCGGTGTTAGATTAACGGATTAAACGGATCCGATCTTTTATTTGGTATATATATATTTTTTTTCAGATTTTTTTGATCTTGTTTTTGCATGGTACTAGAGTGATGCATTTTTTAGAGGTTTGTCTCCGTGCTTTGGAATTATGTTTTTTTTTTTTTTTGGTAAAATATCACGGAGAATACATCGTTTTTTTGCAGTTTTTTGGTGCGGTATCATAACAAGAAGGTTGATGTTTTATGTTTCAACATGGGTAAATGGATTACATGGATAGAAGAAAAAGACTAAGTTCTTCAGATCAGTAATTTGGGTTTTCGATGATTTGCTTCCTTTTCTAYTTGTTTTTATCCTCATTGAATGATATGAATTTTTTATTCTTTTTTTTTTTTTTTAAATTGTTGGTATGTGGTAATTATATGATTTCGATCATTTTGGGGGTGATTTTTATCAGTTGGATTTTATACTTGTTTCAAATTTTCAAGACTCAGGAGTCTTTTTCTGACAAAGCATTCTGCTCTATGTTTGTTAAGTTTAATCTTTATCTCTCATGGGAATTATGAATTGCACAAGATAAAATATCTCACTAAATTGCTTCCTCTAAATGGACATGATTTCATGAATTGCATCTTGTGGGGGAAAACTTGAAAAAATTCCAAATTTACATGATATCATCTGGACTCAGTTGTTTTAAATATAAAGTAGACGACCCTATTTGAAGTTAAAACAAACATCTATATCTTTTTCAAACAAATGGTGATATGAATAAATCATGCACGTAGGATCCAGCTCTCTTACACAGAAATGAATTGAAGCTTGAATTCAAGCTAAATAATCTTTTTAGTGAGGAAAATTGACGACCACCTTCTGATTTCCTGGAAGGTCCAGATGTGAGTTTCTGATTTACACTCACAAGAAATAATTTTTATAATTCTAATAATGTAGAGAGAATTTATTAGGAGAAAAAACTAAAACTCTGAAAATAATTTAAACCTACTTCTTTCTTAAGTTACCCAACTGCATGTAAATCACAGGACAAACATGTACTGAGTTTTTTTTTTTTTTTGGAAAAGGTAAGGTAAATTTATTAGAAAAACATAGAAATACAAACAGAAACCTGCCAAAGACAAGGCAGGAGTGGGAGCACCCCCCATTACAAACACCAAATCGACGGAGATCTCAACAACTGGTATACATTTAAATTTTTGAATTCTGGAGTGACAGATATCCAGGACCAATTTGCTGATTGCCGCCTGCCCTATCTCCTTTGGACTTTTCACTTTTTGGTTAAATATTATGTTGTTTCTCTCAGACCAAATGGCCCAGAGCACTGCTGCAGGGATAGTACTCCAGATTAGTTTCCCTTTTTTCTTCAAATTGCTGATCTTCCAACTGCAGAGCACATCCTTTACGGATTTTGGCATGACCCAATAAATCCCCACAGTCTGTAATAAATGATCCCACACCTGGGCGGCAATTGGACAGTGAATACAAAGATGATCAGTAGTCTCTGGGTATGATTCACAAAGAGCACATGAGTTATCAGGGATCTACAAGCCTCTTCTTTCTAGGTTGGTTCTGGACAGGCATTTATTTAAAGCCATAGTCCAAACTAGGAAGTTCACTTTTGAGGGACTAGATGAATTCCAAATCTGCTTTGATGGAAAATCCCCCACTGTAGCTCTACTACTGAATCTACTGGCCATTGATTTTACTGAGAAGCTACCCTCTTTTTTTTTTGATAATTTAGAAGCTAGAAGTTACCCTCTTTTGACCAATTCCAAATCCACTGGTCCTCTTGATTACAGCCAATCCTCTGAACTTGTAAAATTTTCAACAATATCAAAACTTCTTCCACTTCCCAATCAAAAAGGTTTCTTCTGAACTGTGGTACCCAAGTCACTTCATTACCCGAGAATGTGTAAGAGTCAGCAATCAAAGCATTCTGATTGGTGGCACACTGAAAAAGAAAGAGGGAAAATTTCAGCCAAAGGGTGGTCCAAGCACCAAGTATCCTTCCAGAATCTGTTTCTGTCTCCTCTGCCTACTTTGAAGCTTAAACCCTCTCCAAACAAGGGAAAATATCTCAATATGCCTTTCCATAAGGAGCAGCCCCAATTAGGAAGTGGGTCTGTTGATCTCCAGTTCCCCACTCTACCCCAAACTTGGCAGCTATCAGGCTTCTCCACTAAGCCCCCCTTTCTATTTTAAACCTCCAGACAATGATTTAAAAGGCATGCCTCAGGCATGACTAGGTGCACAGATGAGACGACTTTAGGGTAGGTGCCTCGCCCAGGTCCTAGGCGTGGCACAAAGGCAGCTCGTAGAATCAGGAATGTAATATGTCACATTAGCTACTTGAAGTAATGTACTTGAGAAAAATAGAGATTGTGGGTTTTATATGCTTGAAAGTGTTTTATATGTTTGATTTTATTTTTAAATTCTCATTTGAATATGCTTTACATGTTATGTTTATGTATTTTAAATTTAGATAATAGGTTTTTTAAAACATTTATTTTAAAATTTAAGTTTACATTTTTATTAATATTATGTTTAATAATTTGTTGATTTTTTGAAATTTTGTCATTTTTTTTGATTTTTTGACATTGTTAAATTTTTAGCTTTTTTTTTGTTTTTATTTTTGCGCCTTGCTTAAAAAGGCACACGCCTCGCCTTGCGCCTTAGGTGCAGATTGACCCTTGTGCCTTGCGCTTTTAAAACACTACCTCCAGAGCCATTTACTAAGAAGCGCCAAATTTGTCACCTTGATTTTCCTTAAACCCAATCCCCCTTATTCCATAGGTAGACATATTTGATTCCAGTTGACAAGATGAATCTTCTTCTTCCTCCCAACCCCTCCACAAGAAATTCCTTTGGAGAGTCTCGGGTCTCTTTGCCACTTTTGCTGGGACAGGAAAAAGGGAAAGAAAATAAGTAGGAAGATTTGAAAGGGTACTTTTTAAAAGGGTTACTCTTCCTCCAAAAGACAGATATTTTGGCTTCCAAGAGGAAAGCTTTTTTTCCAATCTTTCAATTATCGGGTCCCAAGTGGCTGAAGAAAAACATTTAGCTCCCAAGGGAAGCCCCAAATATTTTACAGGTAGCTGTTCCACCCGACAAGCCATTACTTTGGTGCATTCCTCCAAATTAGGAACCTGACCCACTGGGATAATTTGGCTTTTATTAAGGTTGACTCTCAGACCTGTTACTACTTCAAACCAGCTGAGAATCCCTAATAAGTTTTCCAACTGCTCCTGAGATGCATCTGTGAAACATAAAGTGTCATTAGCAAATTGGGGGATGTGGACTTTTTCCTCCCCTGGGGCAATTGCAAACCCTTCCCACAAACCAGATTCAGCTGCCTTTTGATTAAAGAGAGAAAGGATTTCAGCAATACAAATAAAGAGCAGAGGAGAGAGGGCATCTCCTTGCCTAAGCTCTCTGGATCTCTCAAAGAAACCTACTGATTGTCCATTTATCAGGATGGAAAATTTTGGGGAAGACACAGACTTTCATCCAGTTCCTCTATTTTTGCCCAAAATTCATTTTTTCCAAGACACTATCTAAGAATCTCCAATTTACATGGTTGTAAGCTTTTTCTATGTCCAATTTGCACACCAAATCAGGAATTCCCTGATTCCCTCTCTCTTCCTAGAGTCAATCAATTCATTTGCAATTAGAACCGAATCAATGAGCTGTCTACCCAACACAAAAGCACTTTGAGTGCTTGAGATCACACTATTTAACACCTCCTTCATCCTTTCAGCTAAAACTTTAGCCAGAATCTTGTAGAAACTGTTCAAAAGACTTATTGGCCGTGGGTGGGCTTTGATTGGTCATAGCTCTTTCCATACCATATCTTTTCCGCATCATAGATTTTCCCCCTATTGGCCTAAAGTCTTTTAAGTGCACAATCCCTTCAACTTTGGGAATAAGAGTGATAAAAGTGTTGTTCAAGCTTCTTTGCAGTGAAGCACTTGAGTGGTAGGCCTGAAAAGCATTTAGATTGTCTTGCTTCACAAAATCCCAACTCTTTACATAAAACATATTGGAAAAACCATCCGGTGTAGGAGATTTCTCATTATCCAAATTGCTAATTGTTGACTTAATCTCCTCCTCAGTAAAAGGTCTTTCAAGGGAGATTCTTTGATCTTCACTCAACCTCTTAAAGGGGAGATTTAAAGGGAGAGGTCTGCACTTCCAATTCTCCTTGTAAGGAAGTTGCAATTATTTTGATTTCTGCAGCTGATTTTTCCACCTTATCTTCCCATATAAGTTTGCTAATTGAAGAGGTTCTGATTCTAGCATTTGCCATCTTATGGAAATAATGAGTGTTCCTGTCCCCTGCTTTAAGCCAGCTTGTCTTAGTTCTCTGCCTCCATTTTAATTCCTCCTTGACTGCTAATTTATCAAAAGCTGACTTTACCTGAAGTCTCTTCWWTCTTAACTCCTCAGAAACTGGGCCCAATTCCTCTGCTCTGTCAATTTCTTCAATTAGGCTAAGGCAAGCACTTTTTTCTGTTTCTGAGTTCAAGATTGTTTTTCAGTTTCCAGGTTTTCACTCTTCCCTTGACTGCACCCAGTTTTTTTTCTAAGACAAAAGAACTAGAACCTTCCACTGCACTTCACAGCAAGCTGATATTAATAAACGGAGAAAATCAGCATCTTCAAACCAAGCATTCTCGAATTTAAAAGGTGCTTTAATTCTGTCCCTATTACCACAATTAATTGGATTGGCGCATGGTCTGAAACTGGTTTAGGGAGAATCACTTGTTTGAAATCAGGGAAGAGCTCATCCCAATTTACTGATACCAGAAATCTATCTAATCTGACTAGAGTTGGGTTTTCCTGGTTATTTGTCCAAGTGAAATTTCCTCCTACTAACGGCAGGTCAACCAGCTCAAAGTTTACAAAATCAGCAAATAAACTCATCCTTCTTGACCTCCTACCTCTGATATTTTTTTTCTTCAACCAATAGGGTTATATTGAAATCCCCTCCAATTACCCAAGGGCAAGTTAAGGAGCCTCTCACCTCGCTAATTCTTCCAAAAATAGGTTTCTAAGGCTTGTTTCTGTAGGACCGTACACATTTGTCACTTGACATAAGCTTCCATTAGCAAGTTCCAGCAGAAGAGAAATTGTATCCATTGAAACACACTAGTCGCCCAGAATGGATGGGATGCTAGTGTATCAAGGCAGGCTAACCTAGCAGCACCTTGGAAGGCCATTCACAACACCCTTCCTCAATTCCTCAATTTTATTAGGTATGAAGTTTGTTCTGGCAATGCTGTTCGTCTTTGGGAGGATATTTGGGTAGGAGACACACCTTTAAAGGACCTGTTCCTTTTGCTATTTTCTGTTTCTTTGTATAAAAAAGAGGTGGTCTCAAAATTTGTCTCACCTTTGGGAACACCCTTAGATTCTACTTGGGAGTTTGGGTTTCGTAGAGGACTAAGGGATGATGAAATTGAATCTCTTTCTGTCTTGCTTTGTTGTCTTAATCGGGTTTGTTTGGATCCCTCCAAGCCAGATAAGAGGGTGTGGACTCCTAGACCCAATGGAACCTTCACTTGTGCTTCTTTCTTCAAGTCCATCTCTCAACTTTCTACTCAACAACCCTTTCCGTCAAAAGAAATTTGGTGCAGGCCAGTTCCCCCAAAGATTATGGTGTTTTGTTGGGAAGTATTCCATGGTAAAGTAAACACTCTAGATAACCTACAAAAGAGAAGACCTTTCCTCTGTATTTCTCCTAATTGGTGTATCCTTTGTAGAGCTCACGGTAAGGATTGCTACCACCTATTAATATCTTGTCCCTTTTTTGTAGATCTTCGGGCTTGGCTACTTTCGTTGTTTGGGAGTAGTTGGAGTCTACCAGCAGAAGTTTGCATGCTCTTCAACCATTCTATTTTTTTTTTGCCTACAAAAATAGGGAGAATTATGTGATGTGATCGCGATGCCTTGATTTGGACTCTTTGGGAAGAAAGGAATGCTAGAATTTTTCAAGAAAAGGAAAGGAGCAGTCAGGAATTGAAAGACTGTGTGCTGGATAGGGCAATACCTTGGCCGAAGACTTTGGAAATCTTTCATCCATTATTCTTTAATGACCTTTGGAGAAATTGGTCAGTAGTAGCGAGGTGTTCATCCCTAAAGGACAAATCAATTACAAGCTGGTCTCCTCCATCTGAAGGTTCACTGAAGTTGAACTTTGATGGAAGTAGCATGGGTAATCCAAGATTATCTGGAATGGGGGGTGCTTTGAGAAATGAGAAGGGAGAGATTTTGTTGCTCTACTCGGGTTCCTTAGGAATTGGGGACTCTATCAGGGCAGAGCTATTAGCTGCTGTACAAGGGGTGCAATTTGCAAACCAGTTGGGGGTACAATACCTAATAATCGAAGGGGATTCCAAAGTGGTGGTGGGTTGGTTGAAAAATCCTGAAGAGGCTATGTGGCGCTACAAGAATGAAATGAAGAAATTCAGTTGGTTGATAAGGAATATGTTGGTCACTGTACAGTGGGTGGGGAGATCAGCAAATACTTTGTCAGATGTGTTAGCCAAGCAAGGGGTAAATACGGAAGAATTGTTTTGGGCTCAGCTGTGATTCCTGTTTTTCATTCTTAGTTTGCTTGTAAGATTCAAGGAGGGGCTGCAGCTCGCGCCTCTCCCTGGGATGTTGTATGAATTCACTCTAAATTAGCTTCTGAATTAATAAATCTATTATCATTCATAAAAAAAACACACACTAGTCACCCCTTATTTAGCTAAGGCATCACCCAACCCATTTGTCGACCTAAGAATCCATTGAACTGCTACCTCCATACTTCTGATTATCTACTTGATGTCCTTAATCTCATGTCTGAAATATCACAACCCTTATTCATTATGCTTCAACTATCTTATTTTTTTTTCGATAATTGAAAAGTTATTTTATTACCGATATATAATAAGAGTTGCAAACACCCCAAAGAGAGGCACGAATTGCGACCTCCCTTGAAAGTGTAAGAAAGTGTATGAAACCAACAACACTCTAGAAGTAAAGCATTACAAGGTAGCCCAGTACAGGTGTTCCCACTATCCCCCTTGTTTAGCATGATGATCAGCCATAGCATTTTCTGACCTGCTCATCCAATGATATCTAACAATCACGTCACTTGTTAACCATCTTGCCTTCTTTACGAGATCCTTGTAGCACCAAATGATTGAGCTCGGGTCTGTATCCAACCCACAATAACCTTAACATCTCCCTTTTCGATAAATAACAACCTTAGAATCTCCTTCAATTAGAAGATGCTCAACTCCTAACACAAATGACTGCTTGCCTTCTTTAGAATGACCGAGATCGGGTCTGTTAACTAACCATCTTGCCTTCTTCAGAATCTCCTTCACCAAACGATTGCTCATTGAATTCTTCAACCATCTTATTTCCACTTGTGAGTCACTTTCTAACATAACTGTTGTGAAATTAATTCCCTTGCCAGCTATAGGGCCTGCAGCACAGCCATCAATTCTGTCCTCACAGAGTTGTCAATCTCCACTGGGCCTGAAAAGGTGCTAGAACTCACTCTTTTTGTTACTGTATAGACCCCCTACACCGGAGTGACCCAGATTTCCCATGGTGCCGCCATTAAAGTTTATCTTAAAAAAACCCCTATTTGGTGGATTCCATTGCAATTGCACCCGTACCTTCTTGCTATATGAATTAGCCATTTCCCTCTACTTCTTAAAGATATAATCCATAGAGTAGTGACAGTATTCTGAAAAGATATAAAAGGTTTTAACCCAAGGTTTTCTCATATGAAATATTGCTATCCCTTTTGAGAGTTTGTTCTCTATATAGCAAGTGTACGAACATCTTTAAATGATGAATTTCTTTCCCTCCTTTCTCCCATAGGGTATAAAATTTGCTTACTCTTTGAGCTAGACTGACATGGTCATACAAGAATATTGCCTATCCTCATCGGCAGAAGGCCCCTGGCTCCTGAGTAGGGGTGGAACTTGGGTCGGCCCGAGTTAAAATTTTACACTACTTTAGGCTCGAGCTTCAGGTTGAGCCAATTCAAATTTTGACAAAAGTTCAACCCGAGCCTGCCCAAGTTGCATCCCTTATCCTGAGACACTTGATAAAGGAAGCTAAGGCTTTTGCTACTATTATGAGTGCTATTTTTCAGATTTTAGATGGATCCTCAGATGTGTGAATTGCCTTACTGAGTAGTGGTGAATAGAAATGAGTTACTATGGGGCACTTGGTCTGGGAATACATCTATGACCTGCTTTGTATGTTCTAAGTGTATGCTAGCATTTTGCTGTTGTCTACTGTCCCACTTTCAACCTATTTTTATCGAGGGACTTTTCCCATAATGTGAATGAAGTTTCATCATTATTGTTGAGCAGAAAGCTAAGTCTGAGGCGGGGGTAATTAACTTTAGAGTGGTAGAGCTTAGAAGCTGGGTGTCTCTATCTGATGTTTGTAGAGATGTTTTTTGTTATGGTTCCTTTTTGAGGGTGGACTTTTTTGGGGTCTCCTAATTCTGGTCTTGCTCGTACAGCTTCTCGTTGTGCGGGTTCTTATACTTTTGATGCTAATAAAATACTTTACCTCTTTTGAAAAAAATGTTTCATCACTATTGTTGTTCATTAAAAGAATTTTTATTCTCTAAATGTCTCATTTGATGGATCCAAAGTTATGCCAACTCTGGTATATATTCTTAAAGCTGAGTTTTACTGTAGGGCTGTTATCCCAGGCTAGTGGGTTGTAATTTTGGTGTTTGGGCTTGTTTATTTTTATGCTTCTTCCTTTTTTATCCTTGCTGATAAACAAGAATGTTGATTTTGATTCCCTTTTTTGGAAGCTGGATCTCTTTTTATGGAGTCATTTTTATCTGTAATCTCAGCTTCATAACCCCCAAAAAGGAAGAAAAAGAAAATCTATGTACTTAATTCTCGCCAAGTGTTCAGATCCATTGCTGTACTTTGGTGTTGAAGGTCTTCTTATTGCTATTGATTTCTTTTATTCTTTTGAGAACTTTTTGTCATCCTTGAGCTGTTATTAATGTATGCGTTCTTGCAGATTTATTGCTATCTTTTGGTATTGAAGTTGCATTTTTTGAATTGAAGAATTTAGCAGTTATATTTGATGGATGATGACTGTTCCTATGGATAACTTGTCAGCTCCTTTGTCAAGGGAGCATGTTCAACGCCTTTACAACAAGGTATGCCATTTATTTTGGTTACAACAAACAGGGCCTTTACACTTAAAAATGCTATAGTTTAACAGGATATATTTTTTTAATATAACCAAGAAGGTTATTTGCAACTGGAATTTGAAGTACAAATATATAGTTTCTTATAGTATGTAGATGATAAGCTGAACTATAAAGAAGGATAACAAAAATTATTACTGATCGTGTACATTGTTCAGCGTCCTTCACGAAACAAACAAGATCTTAGGGAAGTTAGTAGGATATGAAATAAGATTTATGATTGCTTTGATAAGAAATAATATTAGTCCTCTTCCCAATTGAGGCCAAAATATATGCAGGCTTCTTTACTTCTCTGCACTTTTTCATGATCTTGAAAATATCAAAAAGGTGAAAAGTGGAGACTCCGTGTCAGTTTTACCAAGCACTGACTAGCCAAGTAGTCAGTTGATAACCATATGGACTGCAGTATTAACTAGTTAATTGGTACCAAGCATTAAATAGTCAGCTTGGTATTTATCAAAAAGAAAATAGTCAACTTGGTTGACTGCAAAGTTATTTTAAAGTTTTATTTGTTTGTTTTGTTTCAACTTTAAAATAGTCTTATGCATGCCTTTATAGTTTTATGCTTGTAATTGAATGAGTATCTTGATGGTCTGTAATCCTTTTGGTGTCATCTAGGCTGTTTGACTTGAAATGATCAGTAGGGTTTTTCAATCCAAGGACCATCCTGTTGAGCATGTTATTGTTGACTCATCTTTTGACTTTATTAAGGTTTGGTTGAATCTTTATAGCTTTTTGGAGGGTAATTCCAGCCCTTCTTTCTTGGCTGTGATTTTTTTTGGGGTACTCTTAGGTGCCTTGTGGATTTCTTTATGTACAGTATCTCATTGTACATAGGGCTGTAAGTAATTTTTTGATATGAATACAATACTTGCCTTCTCTGAAAAAAATGAACAAGCATCATGGGCCAAGCTTCATTAGGCTTGAGCTTGTGTTGATTAGCAAATGAGCTTATATCAAGGATTAAAATATTGATACGATATGCCACATCAATACACATTGTGGCGTATCGTATTGGTATCAGAAGGCATTGATACAAGATATGCTACGACCGGAGGTGTATCCTTCTAGTCATGCATATTGATTCGATAAACACTGCATCCTTCTAGTCATGTATTGGACTCACTATGAAAAAGAGATGCTAGTGTGATTTTAACCCAAGTCACCAACACCCAAAGACTTAAACGCACTCCTAACCACACACCACTGTTCATTTTTTGAAAATAAATGAAATACATAAAATTTTAATCACTTTAACGTTTATAGTCAATTCAAATAAATAACATATATTATATTATACAACTCCAACTACAAATTAAAAATCATAATATTCAAAATAGTATTTTATAAACTAATAGGACAAATATTTATTAAATCCATATTTATATTTATTTGATCAACAACACAGAAAAGATACAATATTTATTAAATCCATATTTATATAAAAAATGATTTTTACTCTCAAGAAATTTATACAAATCAAAATATTAATAATAGAATAATTGTTTTAGGTACTCAATATTTATAAATTTGCACATGATATGGATCGTAAAAATTTTATAAATTATTAATTAATATTTTAATTAACAAATTATTTATTATTTATTAATAATAGAATAATTATTTTATTAATTAAAAATTATGAATTTAGGGATGATATGTATCTTCGAAGTTTTAATAGATTTGATATATGTTAAGATTGTATATTTTTTTTGTAAATTATTAATTGATGTTTTAATTTACATTTTATAATAACATATTTATTATTTACAAAAATAAAAATATTATTTACCAAACATTTGAGAATTAATTTTTTAGTTGTCTTTTTTGTTAATGTTAAAAATTAAAAATAGTAAAATATAAAATAATTGATATAATAATTCAAATATAGTAGTTTTATATGTTTTTTTGCTTTGAGCTTTTAATGAATATAAAATAATAATGGCTTTGTGCATGTATTAATTTGTAAAAAAATCTATATAATATGCATAGTTTTCAAGGCACAATGGCGAGGCTAGGTGACAGGGGGGTGCTTGGTCGCCTAGTCGCCTAGGCGATGGATTTTTTTATGTAGAAAATATAGATCCTAGGATAGTTCCCTAGGTACCATAACCATATTTCCTTAATAATTATTCATAATTTTCATAAGAAAAGTATTAGAGTTAATGTTCAAATATAGAAAATCAACAAATTCATGAGAAGAAAAAGAAGGAAACAAAAATTCAAAAAGCATAGGGGCTGAACCCTTATTTTTGTTATAGGAAAAGAAGAAAAATGAATATTTTAGTTTTATAGTGCCTATTTTATAATTATAATGTCAAAAAATAAAGAATAAAAAATTATATTAGTTGTATTATCAATAAAGTATATTTTAGTTTAATAGTGTCTTTTTTTAATGTATTATCAATAAAGTTGTATCATATCTATGCATCCCACATTCCCACTATTATTATTTGTGGTAATTTTGACATTAAAATTAGTGTTATTAATATACTTATGGAATTTGTATGCATTTCCATATTTTCGTCTATATACATGCATTTCCAAAGCATATCCATATCCGAGTTGTCTGATATGATACCCGATACTGATACTTTGATCTTTGGCTTGTATTATTGGGCATGTGCTTGGTTTAGACCGAGCCGAAATGAGCTTTTCACAAGTCGGGTTCAAATAGCTCGTAAAAGGCTCAGTTTGTGTCTCCCCCTATTTTTCTCTAGAAATTTGTTAAATAATTGAAAATATATACCAAAGAAGGTTTTTTGATTGGATATAACTTTTTTTTTGATGAATGATAATAAATTTATTAATTCAGAAGCAGATTTAGAGTGAGTTCATTGATTGGATATAACTTTAATATGTAAAAAGACAATTTTATTCAATTTTCAATTCACAGCCACCAATTTGGTAATTAATGCCAATATACCATAAGGTGTACCACTTGTGCATGGTAACTCTATAAGTACAAGATGATATGTTGAAGATTGACTTCATAAATAAATAACCCATTTGCAATCAATGTTTTAAAAACTGATTTGGAACCGGAACCGATTTGGCCACCAGCTTGTCAGCAGTTTGACTGTTCAGTTCCAACGGACGACCTGTTTCAAATTAAAAATAATTAAAATAAAAAAGCCAAAAACCGTTTTCCAGGTTGTCCGGGTCAATGGGTCATTGACCAAGTCAATGATTTTTGGCTGAATAATGGGTTAAAGGTGAAACGGAATCGGTTGCTTCTACGGTCCCGGGCCAAACGGTCTGACTGTCTGGGTCAGCAATGGTTTGAAAACACTTTGCAATTTCTAATGCTTATCAAAAAATGGTGCTTCAAGTAAACTACAAAATGCCTTTAATTGATTTTAAATAGCCCCAAAAGTCTTATTCTAGTAAGGGTTTAAAAGATTTTTTCCTATTCTTGAACAGAAATCACTTGTATGTTTCCAAATCAAATATGTAAACTACTACTAGTTGGAGGAAGTAATAGGCTAGAGGTTGCTTACATTGTTCTTACAATCACTTGTAATGTATAACTGCAAAAGTGTGAATAGATCATCCATGGCATGGGATGGGCACTAATCTTGTCAACTGCAATGTTTTGATTTTGATGTTTTCAAGTATTTTTCTCTACTGAAAATAGTATTATCTCTACTTGTGTAATTTATATCAGTAATTTATGACAATTGCCCTTTTCACAGAATATTGGGCTGGAAAATAGACGTCGAAAGTCAGCACAGGCAAGAATCCCCTCTGATCCAAATGCATGGCAACAGATGCGTGAGAATTATGAGGCCATAATCCTTGAAGATCATTCCTTTTCTGAGCAGCATGAAATAGAGTATAAGCTGTGGCAGTTGCATTACAGGAGAATTGAGGAGTTGAGAGCACATTTGACTGCTGCTCTAGGTCCTTCTGGCTCAGCTACATCACTGAGTGGGAAAGGTCCTCGCCCTGATCGAATTACAAAAATACGTTTGCAATTTAAGACCTTTCTTTCTGAAGCAACTGGATTTTACCATGATTTAATTTTGAAGATCAGAGCAAAATATGGGTTGCCTTTGGATTATTTCTCTGAGGATCCTGAGAATCAAATTGTTCTGTCAAAAGATGCAAAGAAATCCGCTGATATGAAGAAAGGCTTGTTGTCCTGTCACCGTTGTCTGATATATTTGGGCGACCTTGCTCGTTATAAAGGAAATTATGGAGATGGTGATTCCAGAGCTCGTGATTATGTAGCTGCTTCAAGTTATTACATGCAAGCTGCCTCTCTTTGGCCATCAAGTGGCAATCCTCATCATCAGGTTTTCCTTTTTGTTTGTTGTCATCTTTTATTTATATATCTATCTTCTTGTGAGATTATCTTCCCTTATCTCACCTGTTTTCAGTTCTATTATTTTATGATGATCCTAATCTGCAACTCTAGTTAAATTGTTTGCTTTCTCTCAGCTTGCAATATTAGCCTCTTATTCTGGGGATGATCTGGTGGCAATTTACCGGTACTTTCGTAGCCTAGCGGTGGAGAGCCCTTTTTCAACTGCAAGGGACAACTTGATTATTGCATTTGAGAAGGTACCATTTTATTGTGTACAATCATTTAGATGGTAGACTTGCATTCTGCAGTAATTATGTTTTTCTCTTTCTTTTTTTGCGTAGATGCTTACTTTCACTTTTTTTTTTGATACTTGATAGATAATAAATATTTTATTAAAAAGATCACATTACAAGATCCCACAAAGAGGCGTGAGGTGCCGCCTCTAAACTGTATCAACAAGCTTACAATTGAGCCCAAAAAATCTGATTCCAATGCAACCTTTGTTTAGCTAAAGAATCTGCCAATCCATTTGCCGATCTTCTATCCCATTGAACTGTGACTGATATGTTTGATGCTAGCCATCTGAATCTTCTCAAAGCCCCTCTGTAGAACCAGGCTGCAGTCTCCGGCTGTTTTATCCACCCAATAACCAGTTTAGAGTCCCCATGTCCTTAGCAAGCTCTTCTCCTTTTAGAGCAGCTTGGACTTCTGCATTAACTGAATCTCCCACACCAACAGGACCAGAATATAAGGCTATGATCTGGCCCTCAGCATTTCTAGAAACTCCCCCATTTCCGTACAGCCCTGCTAACTGGTTACCTTGGCTGCTGCCATCAAAATTTAATTTGATAGCTCCTCCAGGAGGCTTCCACTCCACAACAGGTTTAAGTCTTACAGCAGAACTTTTGGCAATTTGCTCCCAATTCCTCCGAAATCAACAAAGGAAAAAGGTTGAAACAGGTCCAGTGACTTTGCCCAACTTATGGCCCCTCTCCTTATCATCGAAAATTCTGGCATTTGTTTCCTCCCAAGCAGTCCACACCAAAGCATCTCTCGCACACCTCCACAAGACTCTGCCTCTTTTCTTTGGCCAGCTAAAGGTTGTGGGGTCAAAGAGATTGCTAATCTGCCTTGGTTCTGTCCACCTGCACCCAAAAAGATCAAAAAGCTTCTCCCAGGGGTCTACAACAAAAGAACAAGAGATTGCTTACTTTCACTTTTTTGGTTGGAATCAAATTTGGAAATTCTCTTTGTGCAACCTAGTCAACTTGTATAACTGTATATTTTGTTAGCTTTGGCAGGAGTAGTTAGATACCCAGTAATTAGTCTTTGATGGTTATGTTTAGCATCAGATTTTGACTATCTTGTGATGTTAGAAAAATCTTGTGTTTCTATTTGATTCTTGTTCCTGCTCTAACATATGTAGTCATTTCTTCAACCACCATTAATTGTTGGTTGTTGTATTTGCTCATATTTATTACCTAAGTATTTATCCCCTACAATGTTTTTTTCTTAGTTTGTTTGTGTGGGATACTGCACCGTACACTTATATTATTCTTTGTTTTATTGTTTATCAAATTCTTTACCTGATCTAGCCAGATAGCATGGCTGATGGTTTAGTTAAGGTAGGGGTTAGTTAACATAAGTGAATTGTTTTGGGGGATTTGTAAACTAAGTGTAAGTGTTCTTTCGATGTAATGGTAAAAAGGTATCTGAGGCTAGTATCTCTTATTGAGGTGATTTCTGCTTTTATGTTAGCTTAATAATTAAATCTATTGGTTACTGATCTATTAAAGTCTTTACCTGTTTTATGGGTGCTCATATATAAACACTGACACCAAAATAGATACAGTGGGGATACAACTCCTCCTAAAATCCTAATTCCTACAGAGAGATATAGGTTTTGGTATCCCATATCGTAAGCTTATATCATGCTTTTGTATCTAATTGTCATTTTGAAGATTTATATGTTGCCAAATTTAATTAAGTTTCTAACATATGCATATTTTCTTATATGATAATTTGTTAATACCATTTATACATTGATATTCTACTAGTGTTTATGGTATAGAGTATATCTTGAAATGTCCATTCACTACCCGGTGATGTACTGGCTGATGGGTATGCAGCCACTGGTTCACTGGACAATGTATAGGCATTTGGGTCATAGCTCCTGTTGTCCTCACTGTATAATAATTTTTTTTTGGTGCATTGGAATGAATGGCTTTCCTTTACATGAATCCAGACAATGAATTTTCAAGGATAGGAACGGCTCTCTATTATTATCATTTTCTGGTCAGGTAGTCCCCATTGAGTCTCTGGTTCAAGGGTGTAGATTTTTCCCTTCATATTGGCTTTGAGACGTTTTTTCTGAGTATTTATTGGTTTTTGTTATTCTATGGGTCCTTAGACCTGCCAGTTAAGTTATGCCTGTCAGCCAGGCAGTTCTGAAATTATTCCTTTCTGGATGCTTTTATTTGGGATTACAGTTCACTTTGTGGAACTTGAAACTGTTTCATGAAGCCATGTTGATGTTTAAGATGATCATACAAAATGCAGCTTTATATGTAGGTTCAAGCAGCCATAAAACTAGGGCCAGATCTAGCATCTTAATTATGTGTTTTATTGGTTTCTATCATCTTATCCTTGTTTGCAATACTCTACCTTCAAAGAAATATCTTTATTATTATCCTAACAGGCCTTTCATGTGAGTGGGCTATCTACCATGGGGACTTTACATCATGGATGGTTGGGCTTCACTGGGGTAGGCAGTCTGTGATGAAGACTTTCCAAACTCCTGTTGTGGATGACTGAGAGTCAGGATTTAGCAGTTTGAGAGCTTTCTTACTGATCCAAATTGTTTTGTATCTGAACTAATGAACTTTGTTGTTCTCGGATCATTTTTAGATATTATAGACTTCTCTTTTATGAGGGTGTGATAGATTGTAGAAAGGGCAATCCAGTGCACGAGGCTCCTGCCAATGCAGGTCTTGGGAGGGACAGATGTATGCAGCCTTACCCCTGCACTCGCAGAGAGGTTGTTCCCAAGAGGGTGTGACAGATGGTACAATGAATTAATTTGTTGCATGTCTAGGAGTGCTAAAGGATCCATCCTTTCTATTATTATTCCTTGCTTTTATTTGCACAAATGCTTTATTTTGCGGATTTAACTGGTGTTATTGGTTCTATATAAATTGGCCTATTATCTGAAATTTGTTTAAGTTTTGGTTTCTAAATAAAAAAGGTATAGATTAGTGAGGAATATTTCAACTTTGTTTTTCATTTGTTACAGAATCGTCAGAGCTACTCACAGTTGCCTGTGGATGCCAAAGCCTCTGGTGTCAAGGATGTGCGTGGCTCTGCGAAAGGAAGAGGTAAGGAAGAAGCAAGGGTTCCATCCAAAGATGCTAAAATTGAACCCAGTTCCACAAAGGAAAGATCTGGTAGCATACCTGAGGTTTATAAAGTATTTTGCATTCGATTTGTCCGACTAAATGGTATCCTCTTCACACGTACAAGGTATAAATCTTGAAATTTGAATTCTTTGGTTTTATTTCAATGGAACTAGTATTGAATTCCTTGTGTTATCTTTTCAGTTTAGAAACTTTTGGAGAAGTCTTCTCTTTGGTTACCAGTGATTTCCATGAGCTTCTTTCTTCTGGACAAGAAGAAGACCTAAATTTTGGTTCAGATGCTGCAGAGAATGGACTTGCCATTGTTAGGCTTGTTGCCATTCTCATATTCACGGTTCACAATGTGAATAGGGAGGTTGATGGCCAATCATATGCTGAGATCTTACAGCGGTCTGTTTTGCTTCAGAATGCATTTACTGCTGCTTTTGAGTTTGTTGGATACGTTCTTGAAAGATGTATACAGTTGGAGGATCCATCTTCAAGTTATCTTTTACCAGGCATTCTTGTTTTTATGGAATGGTTAGCTTGTCGTCCTGACATTGCTGCTGGCAGTGATATTGAGGAAAAGCAAGCTTCTGCTAGATCGTTCTTCTGGAACCATTGGATATCCTTTATGAACAAACTTGTCTCATGTGGATCTGTATCCCTTGTTAATGATGAAGATGAAACTTGCTTTTTCAATATGAGCCGGTATGATGAAGGTGAAACAGGTAATCGGCTTGCACTATGGGAGGACTTTGAGTTGAGGGGATTCTTACCACTTCTTCCTGCACAACTCATTCTGGACTTCTCAAGGAAGCATTCCTTAGGTGATGGTGGCAATAAGGAGAAAAAGTCACGTTGCCAGAGGATTATAGCAGCAGGAAAGGCTCTTGCAAATGTGGTTCAAATTGATCAGCAGGGGGTTTATTTTGATCAGAAGTTGAAGAAATTTGTTATTGGTGTTGAGACGAAAATATTTGAGGACAGCCTTCTTGCTTGTTCAGACATTGCTCAATCTAACAGTATGAAACAAGTAAGTTCCGTGCAGAAAAATTTAAATTTGGACTCTGTGCAATCAAAACCACAGTTACATATGGAAGGCGAAGATGAAGAAGAGGTGATTGTATTCAAACCAACAGTGGCTGACAAACCTGTGGATGGGATTGTTCCAAAGTGGGCCTCAAGTGAGACTTGGGAACCTGTCCAAGTTACTTCCGGATCTGAGTATGGAACTTATGCTGGTTCTTTCTCGGCCTCTGCTAACAATCTTCCCCTGCCTGTTTCTCTGGATCCCAGTTCACGACTATCTGCCCCTTTTTCTAATATTGACTCTGAACATTTTCAACCAATCAATGCAAGTTCCTCAAAGTGGCTTGTGGAGCAGCAAGATTCTCTTGCTAATGGTTTGGCAAACTTGAGCTTTGTAAGCAACGGGCTTATTGGAAAATCAGAGTTGCAAGATAGCTTCAATGTTTCACAGCCTTCTGCTCTTTCACTTCCTCTTCCGCAACCTGGCAACATTGCTGCTGGAAGTGTGTTTTTGAGTCTGACAAATGCTCCTGAAACTGTGATACCATCAAAGTTCGATTCAATTATGTCCTCGGTAACTAATGTTGATAACCTGACTGTGAAGCCATCATCAGCATTGCCTGCAAATTTGAGAAAGAATCCAGTTAATAGACCTGGTAGGCATTTTGGGCCTCCACCTGGGTTTTGCCCCATGCCTTCTAAGCAAGTGGACGACTCCTTGTCTGGTTCAGATTTGAAGAATGAGAATCCACTAATGGATGACTACAGCTGGTTAGATGGATATCAGTTGTCAACATCAACCAAAGCAACAACACAGAGCTCCATTAACCACATGACACATGCCTATTCTCATTCCAATTTTAAGAGTAGTGCCAGCATGACTGAGGCAATTAGCTTTCCTTTTCCTGGAAAACAAGTTCCAAGTGTGCATGCCCAACTGGAAAACTGGAAAGGCTGGCCGGAGCACCAACTCCAGGAGCATCTGAAATTATATCAGGGACAGCAGCAACAGCTACATCAGCAGGGTGACAAGCAATCTACATCAATGCCAGAGCAATACCAAGGACAGTCTCTCTGGACAGGCCGGTTCTTTGTGTGAGATTCTTATCAAATGATAGATGGTAAGGTCTTTCTTAATGTCATTCATGCACATCATAAAAATTTCCTGTGCTTCTGAGTTGATGAAAGGCTATTGGATTATCTGCATCCCAATTGATTTCAAATGTCATTGCAATATTTTTACTAATTTTTTCTCTGGAGTTTTGTATTTGTATTTGATTTGGATTGTTTCTGTTGTTGCGGTATTGAAGAATCTTTTGTCATCGCCTTATGCCCGGGTGCTACCAAGTTTGGCCTTGACCTTTGCAGCAGACCTTAAGTGTTATTAAATTTCTGTTGGAGCATGGATGGTCTTGGATTCTTGCAGGCACTTGCATCTGAATAAGGTGAGTTATTTTTACTCTTTTTAGAAATGTGTCATAATCATATTGTAAATCGTAGAAAAGGCACAAATAGGTCAAATTGGGAATTGTGTTTTAAACTGTAGGATTATTTATATTTTCTAACACATACAAACATGTGCACAAAAGCAAAATTATCCAGTGATTTAAAAGGCACGCCTCAGGCGTGCCTAGGTGCACAGGCAAGGCACATCCCTTTCAAAAGGTGCTTGCTTGGTGCGCCTACGCGTGTGCCTTTTGAAAAATTGACACTCTTTTGCTTTTCTTGAATATAGCGGCTGAGCCGGGGGCTTTGCCCCCAGATCCCCATGCCACGCCCCTTGAGGCAAGCCCAAACAAGTCCACGATAGGTCTTAAATTCTTAGTTTTCACACAAAAAATACTGATTTTATGGTTTTAATTGCTTTTTAAGAAGACATTTTTTTTTAGAATGAATGAATGAATGAACAACATTACCAAGTTGGGGGTTCTAATCCTAATAAAATGTCTTCTTAAAAAGCAATTAAAACTATAAAATCATTATTTTTGTGTGAAAACTAAGAATTTGAGACCTAACGTGGACTTGTTTGGGCTTGCCTCAAGGGGCGTGGCACAAAGTCGGCTCGTAGAATCAGGAATGTAATATGTTTTACATTACATTAGCTATTTGAAGTAATGCAATTGAGTGAAAAAAGAGATTAGAGGTTTTACATGCTTGAAAATGTTTTATATGTTTGATTTTATTTTTAAATTCTCATTTGAATATGTTTTACATCTAATGTTTATGTATTTTAATTTTAGATAATAGGTTTTTTAAAACATTTATTTTAAAATTTAATTTTATACTTTTTATTAATATTATGTTTAGTATTTTTTTTGATTTTTTTGAAAATTTTGGCATTTTTTTTTGAATTTTCTGACATTTTTTTTATTTTTTAGCATTTTTTTTTGTATATATGCGCCTTGCTTTAGAAAGGTGCGCACCTCGCCTTGCGCCTTGTGCTTCAAGCACAAATTGACCCCTATGCTTTTTTTGCACCTTGTGCTTTTAAAACATTGGAATTATCTTCACTCCTTGAATGGACGATGCATGTTTCTTTGTGGGCATTTCACTGACAGACATGTAATCTGGTTGAACATCAGCCTGAAAAAAGAATTTCAATCTTTAGTACAATGCTCTGGTGTACTTGTCCATCACTGGGGTCCTTGCAAGGATGCTTGCAGTCCTTTATTCAAGGAGCAATTTTTTCCCATAAAAGCTTAATTTCATAGCAAAATGGTTTTGTTGCATTCTCAATTTATAGTAGTCATATAAGTAAATATTAATAAGTTTATCACTTTGCACATTTTGAGTATAAGATAAAAGAAAAATGAGCCCAAASATGTCTTAAAATAAACCAAAGGTGTCTTAATCTAGTAAAGGTTTTAAAAAGGCTCCTTATGAATTTTTGGCAGGACTTATCAAAAATTAAAAATACATTTATAATAAAGCACAATATTAGGCCATGATTGAACAATGTGAGCTGAATAAATTTTAAGACTCAAACAAAAGTGACGAGTTTTTCTTTTCCAAGAAAGGATTCAATCATAATATAGAAATTGAAACCCCTTGGGTCCATGATATGAACAGTAAATGACATGGTGAATTGTTAAAATCATTGCCCTTTAGAATCAAGACTATCAGTTTTTAGCTTTTGGTTCTTGTCTTCTAGACACTTTATGGGTGGAATATAAGATGATGCATTTGCGTGTGTGTATCAGTGTTTCATGGTTGTGTTTTGGGTTAGAGGATTGTACGCTGTGTGTGTGTATYGGTGTTGCATGGCTATGTTTTGGGTTGGGGAAGTGTACATCGTGTGTGTGTGTATCAGTGTTGCATGGTTGTATTTTGGGTTGGGTGAGTATATGTCCTATTTGTGGCTTGCTAAATATGAGGAAGGAGTAGTGCCTTCCTTTGGTTGCCAAAAGTTGCTAATTGCCAGGATAACATACATAATGTAATTTGAGTTGGTTTCATTCTCTTTCCCCCCTTTTCAGCCTCGAGAACGTTATTGGGATGGATTCAGAGCGAATCCAGCCACATCTAAATCCAATTTGATTGTACAAACTTTAAATTTGAATCTGGTTCAGAATCCAATATATTGAACTTGGAATGGATTTTACATATATAAAAAAAAACATGGAGTGGATTTGAATTTAATCTGAATCTTCTTTCCTTTATTGTCTTTTGTTATTACTTCTATTAGATCTGATTTCTGTCCTAGAATAAAAGAAAAAAGAGAAGAGAAGAAGAAGAGAGAAAGAGAATAGAAGGGATGAATCAAATGGTCTATGTGAGAGAGAAATCACTCACTTTAACCATGCAACACTCCTTACTTAACTTAGGCATAATAGACAAAACACCTCTAAATAAAACATTGTGAAATGACTTAAGTACCCCTGGACTGTCAATTTTAACACTCCCCCTCTCAAGCTGGTGAGTATATGTCATATAATCCTAGCTTGTTATATATATAATCCACTTTTCCCTGACTTAACCCTTTTGTAAACAGATAAGCCCACTAATTTCCTGTGTTCACATCACTCTGTGTGTTTTGTTCTCTCATGGAAGACTGGATTAAATGCGATGTGACCTGCAGCTTGGTTGTCACAATATAACTTCATAGGATTGTTAAATGTATACCCAATCTCCTTGAGGAGATTCTTCAACCACACTAATTTACAAGCTGTGCGCCATGGTTTTATATTCAGCTTCAACATTGATTCTCGCTACAACTGTTTGTTTCTTGCTCTTCCATGTTATCATATTTCCTCCAAGAGAAGTATAGTAACCTGTAGTAGATTTGTTGAACATTGAACCTGCCTAATCTGCATCTGTATAATCCTCTATTTCAAGACTTCCTCCAGATTTGTATAGTAATCCATGACTTGGAGCTTCTTTCAAATACCGTACAATTCTTAAAACTGCATCCCAATGGGAAACTCATGACTTTAGCATAAATTGGTTGATTGCACTTATTGGGTAATAGTCAAATAATTTATCTTACCCACTAACCTTCTATACTTTACAAGATCATCAAATTCTTCACTTGCATCAATGCTTAGTTTGATGTTGGTCTCCATGGGTGTTTCATTTGGTTTGGCGACCCAACAATCCCGTCTCCTATAACAAGTCAAGAACAAATTTCCTTTGACACAAATTGATGCCATGCTTGGACCTTCCAACTTCTATTCCTAGAAAGTATTTCAGTTTGCCAAGATCTTTGTTTGAATGTGATAATGCAGAAAAGCCTTCAATTTGTCAATGCCTAACTTGTCACTTCCTATAATGACAATGCCATCTAGATAAACCACCAACATCTTTCCAGCTTCAAAATCACAACTGAACATCGGATGATCAACCTGACATTGTTTCATATCGAAATTGTTAACCATTTCAATAAATGTACCAAACCAGGCACGGCGAGATTATTTCAGTCCGTAAATTGCCTTCTTAAGCCTACACAGTACACACCTTACCATCCTCTCCATGAGAAACAAACATTGTTGGTTGTTCTATATAAACTTCTTTAATAAGATCACCATGTAGGAAGGCATTCCCAATGTTGAGCTAAAAGAAGGGCTCTAGCCATACAGAGTTGCTAGGGATATCAACACACGAATTGTACCAATCTTGGTAGTAGGAGAGAATGTCTCTATATAATCCACTCCATACAACTGTGAATACCTCTTGGAAACCAACCTAACCTTCGATCGCTCTAATCTTCCATCTGGTAAGTATTTGATGGTATACATCCACATACAACCTACAAAATGTTTATTAGGAGGAAGAGTGGTAAGCTCTCACATGTGATTATGAGCAAGTGTAGAGAGTTCTATTGTGTGGTGCCCACTCTAGGGAGGTAATAGTTTCTTGGACATTCTTGGGGATAGAAAGGAAGACAAAAAGAGAAACAAATAGATAAGGGGAAGTGGGAAGATGAGAAATAAAAACATAGTTAGAAATGGGATGGAAAATACAATTACATTTACCCTTGCGCAAAGCAATAGGGAGATCAAGCTCTAACTAAGAAGGCAACACAGGGTTAGGAGCAATTGTTGGATCTGTTGACGGAGAAGAAACTAGAGGAGCCGGTACCTGCCGATGCGTATACACTTGCTTGATTGGTGACCACTCAGTAGGAACCTTGCAAAGGAGGGGGTGAAGGCATGAGAACAATGGGAATAAGAGGAATGGGGTCATCAATAGGAATTGGAAGTGGGAGTGCAAGAGATGAAGAAACATAATTACTTGTTTAGAATGGAATAGACTCAGAGAAGGTGGCATTAGGACACGCAAAGGAATGTTAAGAAGTAGGATTATAACACTTGTGGTTCTTCTGTATCCAAGAATAGTGTGCATCTAACTTATCCATCCTAGGTCGTAGATTATGAACATAGCATACAAACCCAAAAACCTTGGGAATGAGTGGAAAGGGAAACAATGTAGGAAACAAAACTAAGGGAGATTGACCTAGAAGGATAGGCATTGGCATCCAATTAATAAGAAGGGAAAACTAAGAATTTAAGGCCCTAACATAGATTTGTTTGGGCTTGCCTCGAGGGGCGTGGCACAAAGGTGGCTTGTAGAATCAGGAATGTAATATGTTTTACATCACATTAACTACTTTAAGTAATGCAATTGAGGAAAAAAGAGATTGTGGGCTTTACATCCTTGAAAATGTTTTATATGTTTGATTTTATTTTTAAATTTTCCTTTAAATACGCTTTACATGTTATGTTTATGTATTTTAATTTTAGATAATAGGTTTTTTAAAACATTATTTTAAAATTTAAGTTTATATTTTTATTATATTATGTTTAATATTTTCTTTTTGATTTTTTGAATTTTTGGATTTTTTTGAATTTTATGACATTTTTTAGCATTTGTTTTTGTATTTTTGCACCTTGCTTCAAAAAGGCATGTGCCTCGCCTTGTACCTTGCGTCTCGGGCGCAAATTGGCCCCTGTGCCTTTTTTGCGCCTTGCATTTTTAAAACACTGATTTCAACGTAAAATTTAAAAAAAAATGAAGAACAATTCACTCTTTTCTTTCATAAGATAAAACCATGATCCTTGAATAAATCATCAACCAAAATAACAAAATACTTATAACTATTGTATGACATAGCTCTGTTTGGACCCCAAATGGACTAAAGCAAAAGGACTCAGATTGCGACTATCAACTCTGGGATTGAAGGAAACTTGATGGTGTTTCCAATATTGACACAATTCACATTCCAATGAAGAAAGATGATGCAATGAAGGAACAAGTAACTAAAGTGTCTTGAGAGATGGATGACCAAGCTTGCAATGCTACTAGTGAGGTGTAAGAGAAGGCTGAAGAGTTACTGTCGAACTACGACCATCAAGATAATACAATCCATTGGCTTCATGCCCTCCAATCTTCATCCCCGTCTTGAGATCCTATAAACACAAGAACTAGGGAAGAAAGTTATAGAACAATTGAGAGATTTGGTAAATTTGCTTATAGACATAAAGTTAAAAGGAAATTTGGGCACATATAGAACTGAAGATAAAGACAATGATGCAATATCAACATTTCCATCACCACAAATGGGAGGGGTGAAACCAATAGCTAAAATAACTTTTGTGATGTAGAGGATGGAGAAAGGGAGGAAAACAAACCTGGAGTCCTAGTCATATGATTGAAATCTCCAAAATCGACAATGTAGGGTGAAGGTTTGGAAACCAAACAAGCCATATCTGATTGGGCAAGAGTGGCGGTATTCTACTGTGAGGTAGCCTGAATAAACTTTTCATACTCATCACGTGGGATATTTATCATCTCTTTCCCAGATGCACTAATAGATGTAGAGGGTGCTTGGTCAGTCTGCTGAGCATCAACTGCTGCACCACCACTTATTATCATTGCATGATTGGCTCATGTATCATAGCAAAAATTAATTGTGTCCTTCCATGCCACAATATGTACACTTCCTAGCAAAGCAAGGGGTAAACAAGGCACAATGTTTTTGGGCTCAGTTGGTAGTGCTTAAGATCATAATTCTTGGTTTGCGTTTGCCTATCTTGTAATGGGGCAGCCGAGGCTGCCCATAGTTTGTTTCTACAATTCTACTTCTCTTCTTAATAAAATCTTTTTATGATAGTGATTAAAAGAACAAAAAAACGTTTACACTTCCTAGGCCCATTACCACGACCTCCCCCTGAGTTTCGACCTCCACTATGTCCACCACGACTTCCTTGAACTTCATGACCCCCTTTATTTCCATGGCCTCCCTATCTTGTCACTGCAAAAGCTGATCTATCTGAAATGGTGGAAATCTCTGAAGACGCAATAGTAATGCTACAGAGTTGAGCAAACACTTCCTCAAGGGAGGGAAGGGCAGAACCTCATAGAATTTGAGCTTTGATTGGGTCATACTCAGTTTTCAAACCCACTAAAAATCTGGTCACATCAATGCTGGCATATACTCCTCAAGTGTTTGATTTCCCTTTGTAGATTAAAATATTCTTGATAGAGAAATCACTCACTCTCAGCCGACTATATATATATATATAGGTTTGTAACAGTAGGTACAAAGACCTTTGTTGCCCCTCTTTATGTATGGATACCCTAATTAACTTTAGACAAATAAACAAAACACCTCTAAATAAAACTCTGTGAAATGACTTTAAGTATCCTTGGACTGTCCACTCTAACATCTTTCAATCTTTCAAATAAAGATAAATTAAAAATTTAATTAATTTGGATGTCTGATTTGGACTTCTGTATATATATACAGAGAGAGAGAGAGCCAAAATAATCAGACTGGATGTCTAATTTGGTTTCAGACTTTTCAGAGTCAAGCCCTATCATGAATTTATCAGTGATAACCGTAAACTATAATTTTGTTTATACTTGAAATGCAAATCCTATATGAGGGGGCATGGCAGTCTCATCTTGCTAGTAAAGATGCATAAATTTGGATCATCAAGGTTAATGCACGCAATCTGTTTTGATTGACGCCTTTATTTATCTGATTGAAAGATGCTTAGCAATGCAGATTTTCTAGAATCAGCTTTGAGGTTTTGGCTTCTCAAGTCTGTCTCGATTGCATAAGTTAATGACAACCCTATGCCCTTCCATGTCCTGGCATTTGAAGGCCTTTTGGTTCACCTCCTATGGTTGCCATGTGCATGCCTGCAAGGACAATGGGTTGTCTGGATCCTTGTGTGAATGCGGCAGGAACTAATTCCTTTTTTAAGTGAAAGATAATCTTATTTATATTTAATTGATTGTAATAATTGTTGTCAGATTCACCTACCCATGTGGGAAATGTAATTTGTACGAGTGGACCAAGTTCCAACATCAATTTTTTCCTCTGCATAACCGTCAATTAGTTTTCTTTCATCTGGTCTATGAGAGTCTAATATACATAAAGTATTAGACTATGCTCATTTCAGCAGATCTTTTTTTTTTATTATTATTTTTGGCTTCATGGTTACACAACGGTGGGGTAGCCCATGCCCCAAACCCATAACCCCCCAACCTTGGTGAAGTCAGGATTCTATCCCAAGTCTCTGCTATAACCAGCCCGAGTTCTTACTGAGTTGACACCTCTGCTTTTGGTTGATCCAAGAATGCAGAATTTTCATTTTATGTTTCACAGGCTTTCTAGTAGATTGAGAACTGCTAAYGATCTAATAATTTCTCATGCTATTTATGCAGCTTGTGCCAAGATTTCCAGACCAGAGGAGCAAAGATCGTGATGGGGATTCATGGTGGGGGATGATTTTAAGTGGGTTAACTAAATGCATTTATCTGGTTCGGATGGTTGAAATTTTATGTATATCAAAGATCTTTCATTGGTTTGGGCGATATTTCTCAGAGCTGTTTGAAGTGAATTGAAGCACTTACATAACTAGACTGAGAATTGGTCCATCTGTTTGAGGAAAGGTGTAGCAGTTGGAGGAATGTTCATCATCGTAGTCTCATTGTCAGCAGCAGCATTAGGCAGCAGAGTATAACGATAGATACCTACCGACCTGGATGGAATTTGTCTTACCTCAGTGTGCATCATAATCGGGGGGCGGGTTTGCTGGGCAACAAGTTTGGATCATAACCGAGTCAATGAGAGATGGTAACTGAGTAGTAAGTATATATAAGAAGTATATATAACTTGGTCTATGTTATTGCTAGTCCATAAACTACTGGTAATAGTCTATTCCATTTGGAATGGTATTGAACTCGGATAATGGTTGTCATCTTATTTCAGTTGAGTCGTAAGGCAGATTCGTCTGTCAGCAACTGTTTTATGAATATTGGCTTGGAGAATAAGTAAATTGTGAGATATGGGCTTTATTTTTTTGTTTTGTTACTTTTTATCGAAAATGAGTCGGCCTAAGATACAAACAGTTTGGTACTCTTAGCATTTTGGAATGTTTTATGAATATTGGTTTGCTGTGTCTACAGGTGATAATACCTAGAGGTTTAGTATGTTTTGAAGTAAAACCTTACGTTGTGATCCTTTCTATCGTACTTGTTTTTTTGTCGTTGTAATTCCAATAGCAAGAAAAGGTGTCCGGATCTGTTTCATGTGTCATTTTTTGCAACGACGGGTGGCACATGAAAGTGCAGTTGGTAGCAATAATGTAATATTGTTTATTAGCAGCAGGTCCAGTTTGGAAGAAGAGGGTAGAGAATGCATTTGGAGGTGGGGGCGATCAAGAAGCCTGTGTATTGAAGTGCAAGAGACTCAACTAAGCAAGAGAAAGAGCTGAGACCAATCTGACAGTTGGATTCTTCTGTGAAGTTCTTTGTAGCTCGTAGTGTTTTGTGATTGAAGATAGCTGATGCTGGCCTTGGTGCCGTTTTATAAGTCTTTCCATGAAGATTTTTACAGATTAGATGGCCAAAAGACGTAATGAACTCTTGGGGTTGTCTAAAGATCTAGACCCATTAGTATCTTAGTTTACCATGATCTACAGAGCTGTTAAATGGAAGATTTTAGGTTCCAAAAGACAGCTTCATTTGAAGCTTCCTGATGTTGGCATTTTGGGCTTCTGAGTTTTTTAGCGCATAGATTTTTTGGCTCTTTCATTATCAAACAAAGAAAAATCAAATTTTAGTCTTCCAATCTTTGAAAAGCCCAAAGGAATACTAAAAATCTGGTCAAACGGAGACAAGAATGCAACTGGGGTTGTCTGAATTGAAATTACTTTCATATTGGTCTATTTAGTATATGAGAAATGTTCAACCTGACCAACTGGGGTTGTCTGAATTGTAATTACATTCATATTGGTCTATTTGGTATATGAGAAGTGTTCAACCTGACCAAGTCACACCCATAAATGTCTCTTGGAAAATGTCCAAAGGCAACAATCCCGATAACTTGGAGAGAACCAAAGGATTCATGATATGCCACATCATCCTAATAGTGGGCCTTACATGTACGGAATCGGGATTTGCTCTTCACAGAGCGCAACTCACACCGACGTCAGTTTTATCCACCGTGTATTAAAAACATCTCCCTGCAGATAATGATACAAAATGCCGCAGATGTTCCTGATGTGTGGCTGAGAGGTGTTGTCAAGGTGTGAGGAGCGTCCTGTCAAGAGCAAATCCAGACTCACGTATGTAGCTGACGAGGTATTATAATGACTAGGCATGACCTCATACCAAGTACGGGTCATCATCTGAACTATTTCAATTTTTTTAAATCATCTATATTAGAATTTTAGTTTAGTTTTTTTTTTTTTTTAATTTTTATAGATTTTTATTTGACTTAAGAGACGTACCATATTTTATCTAGAGGAATGCTCCACATCATTTATTATTTCATTTGAGATTCACAACTTATGCTTATATGATAAATTTGATTTTGGTTTCTTATTTAATTTAGAAAATTAAAGCAGGTTTAATTTGCAATTAACAGTTTATACTTTTTTCTTCTTTTTAATAACCTATGGACTAGTAGGCGTGGCAAAATCCCAAGTACAGGGCAATTATTATTTTGTTTGAGATTTATGGTAAGTTTGATATGAGTATTTTAGGAAGGTGGAGATACTTTAGGAAGAAGCATTAGATAATTGAGTATTCTATGAGAGTATAGAATTATAGTTAATGTTAAAAAATTATAAAAATGTAAGTTTAGACAAATAGTGTAGAAGGATGGAGGGGAAATGCTAACATAGACAATTACATTTTATACATCCAATTAATTTTTACTTAAATAGTTGTTTTAATTTTTTATCACATTTTAATTAACTTAAATTAAATTATTATCTTTATTTGGTTAATAAATCTAAGGTAACTTAATGAAGTTAATTAATCCAGTTATTTAACCATTTTGCTAATTATTCAATCATATTCTTTTTTTTTGGAATAACCATTTTAATTATTTAATCATTTTTAGTAATTATTGGATCATTTCGTACTTCTTTTTATAAACTTAATAATTTTTATTTTATATATTAATTATATGCATGAGTTAATAAATTGAATAATTAATTTTATGTAATAAGTTATTATTTTAGTTTAATTAGATAAGTTATTAATTGAATTAAATTATTGGTTTAAAGTAATTAACTTTAATTGAATTAAGGGGCCAAATTAAATTCAATGACCTATATGGTGTACAGATTAAACATAAATGAGTAAACTTATGTGGACCTATAAATTGATTACCAAAAAACATAAATTGTTAAGTTAAAGTAATACATTTTCATTGAATTAAGTGGCTTATAAAAAAAAGGGGGTCAAGTTGAATTGAATGACCCATATAGTGTATGGGTTAGACATAAAAGGGTCAATTTATGTGGACCCATAGATTGGATGGGTGGCTTAAAAATACCTGTTTTGTCTATAAAAAAATGCTTAATTTGTCTTAAGTGACATATATCATACATATATCGTCATGAAATTAGAGATACTGTAAAATACAATATTGATGCCTTTGTATTTTATCCCAATCATAAAAAAGCATCTGATCACCCATTTGATGACCCCAAGAACCAAACCGGTGGTATTTGATGTCGTGCAATTTGGAAGCTCCCTGATGACTCGGACTCCGATTTGGATATTTCCTGGTCAGGGACGAGCTATGCTAGGCCAAGCTGAAAGGTGGCCGAACTGATATGTACTGTAAGAAGAAGAGAACTACAGTGCTCAGGTGTCTTTTCCCAGGGAGGGCACTCTGATGCTTAATTCAGAGAGGTTTGTGAAATTTTTTTAGAGCTTGAGAGATCTAGAGAGTGTATAATCATGCATACCTTTTTGGGTAGAAGTGAGTGCCTTTTGTAGGCTTCAGTGGTCAGAGCCCTCTTGTAACGGGTTTGCGCTTCTTGTGGAAACGGTTCCACTTCATTGGGCGTGTTAATGTGTTGGCTGTGAGATCCGAGCGGGGGTTACGATTTGCCCGAGTAACTCCGAGGCGTGTGGTGTGGTAGGCCGGTCTAACAGTCGAGGTATTAGCGTTCCGGGGATCTTGGCTTGGTAACATATTGTTGGGTCAGCGGGCTCTTCCTTGCACATCGCCATGAACTCCTATAGCTCGGTCAGTTTCCAGGACTTGTTGTCGTAATCTTACGAGGTCTGCCAGTTCGGCTCTGTGGAGGTCGGCCTGGACGAGGTGCTCCAATGCTGACTTGCCGAGATAGTTTGCTTACTCAGAGCCAAGATGTCACCCGAAGGCCACGCATCGCTGTATGATTGGGAGAACCAAATTACCCCTCATCAATTGCCCCCACTCTCGAGCTGGCGTTAGCTTGACGAAGGGAGTAGCTCTCAGTAAAGGCAATTGGTCTGACTGGTTTGCTCTTTCTTGACTCGGGCTGAGGTAGGGTTGGTCTGTAGTAGATTTTCAAATTTCAAACTTCTAGGGAGGGGCACGATCCGCAAAATTTTTGGAAAGAGGCACACGTGAAGGGCACACTAATTTCAAATTCAAAAAAGGAGTGCTCCCTTAAGGCATGCAAATTTTGCATTTAAATTAGGAGTGCGCTCTTGAGGCGCACAAATTTTGAATTTAAAACTCTTTGCGCGCGCTATTAGTCGTAGATTCATCGTAAGCACATCTCTGTCATTCATTCTTTTTCAAACTAGTTATAAATAAGCGGTTCCTATTGAGGTCCCCACTTGCACTATTTTTGGAGCTTTCTGGGGTGGTGTCTGACTAGTGGAGGTCATTGTTCGAGCCTTGCTTTTCGTCTACCCTTTGTTGAGGTCTCGCTAGTTGCCATCATCGACCTTCTTAACCTTTTCCAGTGAATATTTCTAGTCCTTCCAATGTCTCATAGTCAATTTGACGGTACTTTTCCTGACCAGAGGTTAGACAATGAAGCGAGCTCCTTAGGGGAGGACTCATTTGGGGAATACTATGGAGGGTGCTTAGTAGGAAGGAAGAGTGAAGTCGAGCAAGTTGTATCTATCTTCGGCTCGACCAAGCTATCTAGGGAATGTATAGTCGAGTTGTGCAATACATATTAGATTCCCAATGAGTATAATTAGATCAAGTCATAYGCCGACTATTACCCATGGAACCACGACTGAGATGATGTGTGCATCTATGAGGAGGCGCTAGTCGCTGGTCTTCGATTCCCTCTCCATCCTTTCATAGTTTATGTGTTGAGATACTATGACGTGTCTCTAGGCCAACTCAATCCTAATGTGATCCGTACCTTGGTGGGGCTGATCAGCTTGTGCCACCATCACGGTTTCCCTTTGAGCATAGATGCCTTTACCACCTTGTGTCTTATGAAGAGAACCAAAGATCCTTTTTGTTTCTACCTTCCCTTCCGAGGTGGCCGGAGGGTTCTAACTGATTTCCCTAATAAAGTTAAAGGGTGGAAGGATAAATTTTTCTATCTTTCTAAGGATGATGGCTGGGGAATGAGCACTGTATGGAAAAACAATTGTTGAAGCTTCAGTGAATCTCCGGACGAGGAGCTATGAGTTGCACTTCAGGAGTTCGTCAGCCAAAAAGTCGAAGTAGGAAGCGTTATGGCCGAGCCTATGCTTATTCAGGCCGGACTGAGCCGCGTAGGTAGATCGGCTGTTGAGTCATCTGCATCCGCATTTTTTGTTTCGCTAACAAATAGCTCATCTAACTAGTTTTCCTTATATTTTAGATATGGTGAGCATGGCTTCTATGTTGGCGCTTAACAGGGAGAAGAAGGCTTCGAGGAATCAGCGAAGGGTGGATTGCTGCTCCTCAATGGAGGGGACCTCAGCAAGTGCTGAGGTGAGGTCGCCACACCTTGCTCCTCCTGTCATCGACCTTGAGGGAGGCAATAAGTCTATGAGTACCGATCAATACTCATCTAGCCCTTTTGCCTTCCAACCTTAGGTTGGCCAGGAGGAACGCGGGGCTGGCCCTTATGTTTTAGACATCCTTCGCTTCGTCCCCAACGCTGACGTTTTTGTACTTGACCGCGTATCTGACCCTCGAGTG